TTATTTATTTATTTGAAAGGCAGAGTTATAGAGAGGCAGAGAGAGAGAGAGAGAGAGATCTTCCATTTGATGACTCACTCCCCAGCCAGAGCTGTGCTGATCCAAAGCCAGGAGCTTCTTCTGGGTCTCCCATGTGAGTACAGGGACCCAGGGACTTGGGCCATCTTCCACTGCTTTCCCAAGCCATAGCAGAGATCTGGATTGGAAGTGAAGCAGCCGGGATTTGAATCGGTGCCTATATGGGATGCTGGCACTGCAGGCAGTGGTTTTACCCACTATGCCCCTTAGCATATGTATTTCCTCATGTGCTTTGGTTTATAATCTTTTTTAGCAATCTTCCAGTATATGATATATTGTGATTAGTCACAATGATACACAAAAGGTCTCTGCAGATAATGAAAAATTTGGACCCTTTGGCCCAAATCTCCCTATCCCCTAACCCCAGCCTCTGGTAACCACCAATTTATTCACTTCCTCTATGACTTTGGATTTTTAGATTCCACAAACATATTTCCAAAAGACCATGGAAAATAGAATTAAATGTGTATTTTGGTGCACAAAACTTTGAAATCCATTCGTAGTTTTTTTCATGATATACATTTTCCATGAGCTTTTTGAACACCCTCTGTAAAAGCGAGATTGCACCATATGTATGTGTGCCTGGCTTATTTCACTTACTCTAATGTCCTCCAGGTCCATCCACATCATCCCAAAACAGTTCTATCCTTTTTTAAGTTAGTTGTTCTTAACCCGAATGTATCTCAAATCCACTGATAGAACTTTTGCAGTAAGGCAAGTGTCCTCCCATTACTACCCACAAATGACGGTTCTCCTATCTGGAGTGGAGCCCTGGCAGCTGTGTCACCCCACAGGTGCACAGCATCCAACACGTTCCCCTGCAAACCACGCTGAGCAGTACCTGGTGAACACCAGAGTAGGAATAGTGGCTGCCTCCCCATTCTGCATCTGCCGAGCTACCTAGAAAATGTCAAGATTCCTCGTCTTTGTTGGATTGACCTTTGTCACTTGCTGCCCAAAGGGATTTTGTCCTGTTGGATAGATCCTTAATACTGTCTGGCATGAATGAATAGCACTTCAAATAATGGAATTGGTTTCTTTAAGATATAGGGACAAGGAGTGAGCAAAAACAGTCCATGACCTCCTGTGGGCTTAAGCTGCACTGATAGAACTTTTGGCATTTTCGAGAGAGGCAGTCATTGAGGAGCAAATGTTGCCAAATGTATTTTTCTTTTTTGATACTAACCTGGGCCTCCAACAGAGCAGGGAAGTGAAGGGAGGATACATCCTGTAGTTTCCCCAAGTTAACTATACTTGCTCAGAAAGACAAGTCACTTTGTTCCAAGGCAAGGGTTCACGCAATTCATTCAGTTGACAAAATAGGTTGTTTTCCTCTCTCTCTGAAAAATTCTGTCTCTAAACTGCATTTGGTGCATGGCATTTAAGCCAATTGCCTCATTAAGCTGGGGATCCTGAAGAAAATGTTTGCAGAATCGGGACATTTGTAATTAATGCTAAAATGTCAAGATTTCATCTGCCTTGGCTCCTTGCTCCTCAGTTCCTTATACTTAATTATCTCTTTAATGAGCAACTAACGTACAGAAAAATAAAAATGCCAAGGAACAATGTGCTAAAGGACATTTCGGGGAAATAAAGCAAAGCTGGCCCAGTTTTGTAAGGTTGGCCTTTTGGCTTGGGAGTATTTCTTTTTATACACTACCAGCTTGCTGCAGGATAGAGAAGGAACTAACCTTTGCTGCCACACACACACCAGATATTTGTCATCCCTGAACGAGATGGTGTCCATGTTCTCTTCCAACTGTTGAATTTGGTAATCTGCAGTGATTTTCTGCATCCTAATTCTCTGAACAGTACCTTGAGCTGAGTAGAAATACCTTGATATTTGCTGATAAAAATAGCAAACTCTCAGCCAGGCTTCAGGTCCAGAATTCACCCATGTTTTTCAGTCCCTCGTCCCTACATGCAGGACCATCCCTGACCTGTGCTGGTGAGTCCACAGCATCAGTATTTCCTTTAGGTGTGAGGATGAGCAAAGAAATGAGATATAAGCAAAGACGGGTGCACATGAGAAGTGAACCTTGTACTCTGTTGCCCGGTCACCTCTCTCTCTCACCACACACAGTGGATGAGAAGGAAGCGGCCTGATTTTGCAATTTTTCATCCCTCTAGTCGCATGAGATTGCTTTAGGTTCACAGAGAATGGATGAGCTGGTTTCGTTGAAGGATCAGTTTTGTGGCTATTGCTGTTTGGTTTTGTCCTGCGTTGTTCTTGGTTGACAAAGCCTCTGTTGCATCCAGCCATCTTTCTCTGGGTGGTTTTCCTGAGTTGGCTGTGAATGAACATCATGTGAAAACTGCTGCAAGACTCCTCTGCTGATTGCTGCAGGCCCTGCTCCGTTCTCCTCGTGCCCCTGGAGTCCTACTCTAAGTGGTTTCCGATTGGTCCCTTTCCTCCCAGCCCTGCAGTGCAGAAGTGATTGAGCAGAATCACCCGCAAATTACATTGCAAATGGTGCCTATTTTTTGCAGCAGCCCATCTGCTGGAGTCTATTACTCACCGTGCCATGCGAGCGGCTCAGACGGATCGGGTGACTCTGTAGAAAGTCACTTCTGAATCACCTCATTGCAAATTTGCACCTGAACGTCACCCTCCTGGCTGCTGAAGACACTGGAAAATTACAAACCCTGAGACATGGCCTTGCATCCTTTTTCCCTCCTCCTCACTGACCTTAGCTGACTTTAAGGTTTTATCAGTATTGGAATAGCTCCCGAGTAGTTGGGTGGGATGCTGCAGGGCTACCATGGAAGGGATGTTGGAGGATGCTACCATGTACCCTCGCTTTACACACGGGGGCTCATAGGGGGCTCTTGAATTCACTTTCACTGAGCACTGCGTCCTAGACCCTGGGAGGCAGTGGGGAATGGGAGTCTCAGGCTTGCCACAGGCTTCGTGGTTCCTAAGAATCTGCTCTGCAGGGGTGGAGTGCATGGCAAAGCATAGTTCCCATTCCCCTGGGGGATTCTGCAGAGTGTGTGTGAGCCTGGAGGAAGGTGGTCCAAAGGAGAAAGAGTAATCTCTTGAAAGGCGAACAGCACCTAATGAAGTTGTAATTCCTACCAGCGCTGCTCCAGGTGCCATCAGGCACATGGGAAAGAAGCGAGCATCAGTCAGCCTGCCCTGAACTCAGAGTCCAGCTCAGCACCGGCCTCAGGAGGCACTGTTTGCAGGGAGACACACGTGGTTCTCTGAACTTGACTGTGAAATGCTGTCATGGACGACAGCAACAGGGTTGCACTGACAAGGCCCGAGGTCTCCTGGGATCTGATCTCATCCCCCACATTCTTCTCGGAAGCCACACGGGTCAAAGCTGCCCCAGCATCCCCGCTTCCCTACCTGTGACGGTCTCCTCTTGTGGGCACGTTTCCCTTTGTTCCAATGGATGTTCTCTGTCATTGTATCCCTGCTTCCAAGTTCCATAACTAGCCTTTTCATCACCACATGCGCACAGTTCAGGTTTGTGGTATTCATCTGTTATAAGGGCTCTTCAAAAGGTTCGTGGAAAATATATATTGTGAAAAGAACCTACATGGATTTCAAAAAAAAAAATTGCTATCAAAACTTCTCTTCTGATTCTATCTTTCCATGCAGTTGTGAAGTACCCTCATATATACCAGTTGAATAGAACTCTAATTATGTAGTTATATTGACAATTATTTTCAAAACAAATCTAGAGGGAATTAGTTAACACTACAGGAATCCATTTTTTGCACAATGCCTTGACCTAATATTTGTTTTGCAATGTATTGGATTCTCTGATTCACAATACTGTAAATGGTAACTCCTAGGATGTGTCAAAAAACAGAGAAGGAATTTTTCTTTCTGGAATGACTATCCAGGCCCTACAAAACTCATCTGTAGTTAAACCTTTAATCGACAAGACAGAATAATGGTATTTCTGTTGAAGCTTCAGAGAATCACCATTTCTAGTTCAGTCCGTTTCAGATGGGTCTGTTTCACTTTTCCGTCACATGGGGCAAAATTGCATCCTTCTTTTAAGAATGATAAGTGTTAGGCCGGCGCCGTGGCTCACTAGGCTAATCCTCCACCTTGCGGCGCCAGCACACTGGGTTCTAGTCCCAGTCAGGGCGCCGGATTCTGTCCCGGTTGCCCCTCTTCCAGGCCAGCTCTCTGCTGTGGCCAGGGAGTGCAGTGGAGGATGGCCCGAGTGCTTGGGCCCTGCACCCCATGGGAGACCAGGAGAGGCACCTGGCTCCTGCCATCGGATCAGCGCAGTGCACCGGCCGCAGCGCGCTGGCCGCGGCGGCCATTGGAGGGTGAACCAACGGCAAAAGGAAGACCTTTCTCTCTGTCTCTCTCACTGTCCACTCTGCCTGTCAAAAAAAAAAAGTGATAAGTGTGCTGGGCTTTGAGCACTTTTTCTCCCACGCAGCGTTTGATGAGGGGGCTCTGTGTGGACGTGTGCATGTCTGAGTCCCCGGGAGTCTTCTCCAAGTTGATCTGCTTTTCTAGAACTAGATCTCCTACAGAGCTAACCTCCTCTCTCGCTTCTGTCTGGAGGTACCAATCTTCAGTGTGGATTGATTTCCTCTACTTCTGCCTTCCAAAACATAATAATCTATAACAGTACAATAAGAGTACAAATAGGAAGTACTCAGTGGGTTCAGAGTGCTCAAGTTTGTTCAAGAAAAAAGATTCCTAGGTAGTTAGCATTGGCTGAGCTTCGATTTACTGGGTTTTACTGTGCTGGGGCTTGGTCATTAGCCAGGGACATTTCTTGAGCTCATGTACAGGGCACAGTGGAGGCTTCTCAAAGATCATGGAGGATGGATGGCCCTGAGAAGAGGATTTGCTTCCTTCCTGGTCAGCTTTCCATCATGCCTGTGCAGCTCTGTCTACTTGTTGCCTACTCACACTTCTCTATTCTGTTTGTTTCCCTTAGAGGAGATCTTGAAGACCCACATTGCACACTGGTGGTCTCCGGATGGCACAAGGCTCGCCTACGCCACCATCAATGACTCCCGTGTCCCCCTGATGGAGCTCCCCACCTACACTGGCTCCGTCTACCCCACGGTGAAGCCCTACCACTACCCCAAGGTAGGCGAGAAGAAATGACAGAGCAAATGCTTTGAATTATTCATGGTTCCCTCCCACTCCCACCCCCCACACCCAGCTGACTCAGAGTGTGGAGATGTGATAATCAGATGTGTTTATGAGTAATGCAGTAAACAGAGAAAAGATTAATTATTTCTCATTACATTGCATTAAATTCCCATCTTTGTTGAGCTGTATTTGTTGGCAGGTTTACTTTACTTTAAATAATTGGACTACTGTTAATCATTTGTCTAAGCTTCATTAAAAAAATTAAAACATTCCCTTCATCCAGGACTCCAGGTGGCAAAAACTCCTACATTGCCCACGCTGACTGTTCACATTCCTGTGGACGGTTTGGCTTCTGGGAGAACAGAGGGGCTCCCAGCCATCCCTGTTCCCCTGGGTCTGGGTGTGGCTGCATTGTCCTTGGTCATTGCTATGGCCTGAATTGCATCCTCCCATAATTCCTATGTTTAACCCTAAGCCCCAAGATGATGATGTTGGGGAGGTGATGAGGGTTGGAGTGGAGCCCTTGTGCTTGGCATTAGCGCCCTTGTGAAGGAGACTTCAGAGAACTCTTGCATTTCTACCCTGTGATGATACAGTAAGAAGCCTCCGTCTATGAGCTTGGCCTTCCAGCCTCTAAGCACAGAAAGAATTGCATCGTGGTTGTTTATGAGCCACTCAGCTTCTGGTACTCTGTTACAGGAACCTGAAGGGGATAAGACAGCCATGTTCTGACCTGAAGAGGGTCAGGTGGAATGGTGAGGGGTGGGGGAAGAGCAGGAAATGAATGGAGCTATGGGGTAGGAGTCACAGGACATCCAAACCTCACTTTGTTACCAAATCACGTCACCAGAGAGAGGGGAGGGCCTCATGCTAACGCTTGTATGGCCCAGTCAGTTGGAGAGAGGATGATGTGAGAGTAGGAATGCAACTCCCATGGAAACACAGGGTCCTGCTACCCACTGGTCTCCTTAGACAGCTGCAAGACCACTTGAGTGTGAGCAGCTCAGTGCCTGGATTCCACCACTTGGCTGCCTGCCTCTGAAACAGTGCTCCAGTCTCCACTAGGAATATTTGAACCTTAGCTCCCTGTCCCACTAGAGAGATCTGAAAGCCAGGAGTCCACACTCTCTTTAAACTGATAAGGCCTGTGTGTGGGAAGCAGGTCTTGTTATACTCCTGCAGGGCGTAGTGAAGTGGAAGCAGTGAATCCCATTAGGATGGGGGTGGTTCTGACACTGTGGTTGCACCATTTGGTCACCTGACTTCTAGCAAGCCAGGCTGGGGCTTAGGGCCAGAGCTTAAGATGGTGCCCAGGGCTTAAGAGGGCACCACAGATAAGGAACCATTTTACTAACATCGATAACATCTGATATTGCATACTCCTTTCAACAACCCTGTGATAGGGGTGTGGCCAAGATCCAAGAGGGTCCCAGAATGGAAGGAGCAGGAGTCCCCTGGGGCCACAGCCTGGGTCTCTGCCCCCCCCCCCCCGAGAGCATCTAGATACCAGCACACAATGTTCTTCCACTCCTTTCTCAGTCATACTTCATCGGACTTAATTCTGTATTACATGGAAAGGACCAAAGTGACTTGGAAACATAATAAAGTATACTGGATTGATGCCAAATCTTCCTAAGCCCTCTATATTCCCAAACACACACATGCTCACACTCTCATACACATGACACACTCCCATGTGCACACACACTCACATATGCCTTCATAAGTGCACGTGCACACACCCACACAAAGCAGCCATTAGCTGCCTGCTCTTCATCTGACCACCCAGAGAAGGAAGACTTTTCATGGTGACTTTTTTTTTTTTTACAGAAGTTCCCCCAATCTAAGAGTAACAACCTAAAATTCTGTAGGGCCTCTGGACTTCACTGGGAACGCTGGGACAGGGGCTCTGAAGATGGGCTTGTGGTGCACCACATTGCTCAGGGTTGGAAGTTTCTTGTCACAATAGAAAGCAACATGTTTGGCCAACGGAACTGCTGCTCTCTTTGCCCCCACTCCCACCCACTCCACAATCAGAATCTTGAGTTGGTGAACCTGCCTGGCTTGTGCCTTGATAGGGGTTGATTTCCTCTGTTAAAGTGAATGCTTTGTGTAGGGTGCTGAGAAAGGGAGGGCAGCAGACCAAGCCCGTCCCCTGAGGAAGCACTGCCACAGCTTTCCCTAGCCCCTCCCGGGTGCTTGTTCCCAGAGACAGGGGAGCAGTGTAGCAGTCCTGGAAGGACTGACTCCCCACCACTGAGCGGTGACCATCATTCTCTGTGTCCACCCTGCCCCCACCCTCCAGCTTTCTCTTCCTGGTCTTGCACCCATCTTTTCTCCTCTTGTCTGGTTTGCTTTTCCTCCTCCAGTTGTGGTGAACCAAGGACAGTGGTACTCACTGCAGGTAGACTGAGAGATTTGGGGAAGGAGGAAGGGGATTCCTGGGGAAGAAACAAATCGGCTTGACTATCTCTTTAGCCTTTATAACTCTACATGTGAAGCATCTGTTCTCAGCCTGCACCTGGCTCCTTAGCAGTGAGCTCCAGAATTCCCAGAGCTTCACCTGTGACTCTTCTGGAGAAAATTCTCCAGGGCTGAAGCACTCTGCAGGCACCAGGTTGCTTATTTGTGTCTCTGTTCCTCTTTCCAGGCCGGCTCTGAAAACCCCAGCATTTCCCTACACGTTATCGGCTTAAATGGACCCACTCATGACCTGGAGATGATGCCGCCTGATGACCCACGAATGAGGTTTGTTTTCTTCTATTATGTTAGAAAAAAATAACATGAAGGTGCATGCATATGTTCTTTTTGGAATCTGACTTATTTTGCTACTAATCCAAGCATCCATCAAAAAAGATAAGCTTTCTGAAGTTTTTGTTACTGCTTTGTGATTTGGTTTTTCAGGAAAAGAAAACCCAGTGAACATGGACAACTGCTATTTGTTGGTTCATTTCAGGAGTAGATTACCTTCCCGGGAGGCAGGGCTCCTCTGGGAAGGACATGTCTGGGTCAGTAGGGTCACAACGGCTAACACTTGGCCAACAGCAGATAACACGCACTGGAGGAACTGATACAGTAATTCCAAGGAAGTCACGTAGCTTGAATTTCTGCAAACGAATCCCTGGTTTTAGAGCATCATTTTAGAGCTTTTCTATAATTCTGCAGATCCAGCAGCTGTGTGATGTGCTCTGTTTCAATAAGGCCAAATCTCCCAGATGGTAAGGTGACAGAGTTGCAAGACATATTGACAGTGTGATTGACGTCTTATCAATGTCTACTTGTTGTAGATTTTTAAAAATCAAAACAGCTGATAAGCTCCATGCATGTGAAGTGGTCTGGGTATCAGTTTAGTTTGTCCCAAAATTCAGTCTGGGGGTTGATTATCCATCCAGATTTCAGTTGCATCACCGTTAAACCCTTATTGAGAATATTGATGGGGGCTTCAAAAAAGAGGAAATTGTAGTGGCACCAGGATCCACGCATTTTTAGATCCCTATAACTCTGCAAGTGGGACTGTGTAAGCCAAGAATGACTCATTCTCAGGCTCAGCAAATACCCAATCCAAATTTTGCCAAACCTCTAGCCTGGGTCTTCATTATTCAATTACGGAACTCCACATTATTCGTAGCTGCTGGCAGCTTCCAGAAGAGCAGGCGCCTTTGGCCACAGCCACTCTGGCTCCTCCTGGCTCTGGGATTGATGTTCTGGGCCTTGATGACTCTGGTCCCCTGATGAATGTGTTCTTCTGCAGTGGCTGCATGGCTATTCTTGTCCCACACCCACGCCCTGCACAGAAACCTGAGACCTCTGCAGAATTCCACTTCTTTCTTCAACAAAACTTAAAATGCCGTGAGGTCCTAACACAGACCAACCTGCACAGAACTCCGTGCTCTGTGAGGGCCAGTCACTGCCTCTTTGCCCTGCCCTGCACTGGTCTTCTCCCTCACCTGGGATGGCCAGAGTCTTCTAGTAAGTTAATGAACCTGACTCCCAGGCAGCCAGCCCAGGGCCTGACTCTCTGAAGACCCACCGCTGGGAGGCCAGCCCTGTGTGCAGAGTTTGAGGGTGTTGGATTGATTTGGCTGGCAATAGCTTTGCTGGGATTAAAGAAAGGTTCAACTTAGGGCTATGACTTCTCTCCTAGAGATCCATATATTTCATGGTTTGCCTTGCAGCCCCCATCCCTGTCAAGCCTCCTGGGGCCTGGTCCAGCAAACTCACTGAATTAATATGGAAAGTCACCTGGAAAATTTCAGCCATCTGTTTGAGTTAATTGAAAATCTCGTTTAGTCAATTTGGTGATGCTGTTTCCGCAGGCATGATTAGCTTCAAGGACAATGAAAAATTAGCCTCAGTCAGGACCCAAAGTTTGGATGCAGGGTTTCAGGTTTTCTGCTGGCTCTAATTTCCTAAGCTAAATGCAATAATGCATTTTATGCCCAAAATAAATCTGTAATATGCAAATGTCATTTGCCCATGCTACTTCTTCATCACACATCCTTGAGTTTTTTTTTTTAAAGTGAGCACATACGTATTAGAAATCGTAGACTAAATGTGAGGCAGGCAGTATTTAGCATGAGTATTTGCCGGCCATTAGCCTGAGATCTGAGAATTTAGTGGTGAAGGAAACAGAGCTGACACTGTGAAGGGGGATATAGACCTTGAAAAAATTCATTGCAAGCAAGCAGGCATGTGAAAGGCCGTGAAGAAACACAGAAGAAGAGGCAGTGTGGCCTGAAGGGTCACAGTGTCATGGTTTCTGCCAGTTTCTCAAAATCAGCAGTATTGATAATTTAATGCCTGATGATTCTTTACTATAGAGGGTTGTCCTGAGCATTTTAGCTTTGATAGCATCTCTGCCCTCTATGCATTGTATGCCAATAGTAACCTCATCCTCCCATCCCCTGCCCTCATTGAGACAATTAAAAATGTCTCCAGTCATTACCAAGGTCCCCAGATAGATAGAGAACAGGTGGTTCAGAGTGAAGATTGTCTAGCCAACTGCCAGCGTTCAATTTCGGGTCCTGTGGTTCCCAAGTAAAATGGGGTTAATTGTTAGTAATAAAAGTGTTTACTCTCATGAGTAGTTGTAAAAATTTAAAAAGGTGGTACAGCAAGCATGGGACTGGATCATTAAATCATCCTCAAAACTCCAGGGATAGATGCAGACATTTCTGAAAGTCCTCGGCTTCCAATCAGCAGTCCGGTACAGAGCAATCAAGAGCAATGCCTAACACCTTTGTGCCCTCACTTAGCCATGCTTTGTACCATCCCTGTCCACTTTCCATTCTCGTTTGCTTGATAAGCATCCTGATTTCCCTCGGATAATGTGAAAAGTCAGCACTTTCAGAGCCTTCCCCTATGCTGTGTTGGAGAACATCTGGCCCAGGGGGCCTTCTAACACCTGCAAAGTCCTTTGGAGTGGCCCTGCCAAGACTACAGCAGGCAGAACTTGAAATTCAGTAAACCTATAGCAGGCTAATTTTTAAGTTAACAACCTTGTATGGGCCACAAATGATGTTAGAAATAACCAAATGGCCCATGGCAGGAAAAAGGTTCCCCACCCCTGCATGACAGGGCCAACACTCATCATCTCTCTGTGCCATGCACTGTGTTAGACACTTGGATAACTGACATCTAGTGGCCTCACCCATCAAAGGACTCAAGTCTAGTAAGCCGCAAATAATGAACATGGCCAATAGCCATGATGAACATGGAAGGCACCGACTTGTGAGCTAAAGTGCCCATCACGGGGGAGAATGAGAGATGTTTGAAAGGGCTTCTCAGAAGCCACAGGATCATGGGAAACCTGGGGGCTATCTTGGAAAACGTCTCTGTTAACAAGGAGCCAGCATGGAGACTGACCCCAGGGTCACTGGCTCAGCTTCCACAGGTGAAGGCAGCCGCAAGGATGCCTTGCTAAGATGAGAAGACTTTTGTTGAACCTGTGCAGGAAAGCCTAAATGCAGTACATCCTGTGAGTGGAAAAAAACAAACAAATGGAAATTGTCATTCACTGCCTGTCCTGAGGTTTCTACCATTTCACACAGATACCCAGCTGCACTGATAAAACACACGCAGTTGGTTTGTGCTGGTTTCCTCAGGCCTCTCCAGAGCTCTAGAGCTGGGTGTTGAATTAAGCTCCAGTGGGTACCCGGCAGCAGCATTTTGAAGACATGTTGCACTGTGCTGATATGTGTTTTTGTTCTGCAAATATCTCATGCAGGTACTGCGCAGCTGCCAGCCCTGCGCATTTTTCCTGACCGCCTCCCAGTAGCAAGTTCTAAAGGATCACTTAAACAGCCTGGGGGAATCCAACATGGTCGCCTTGATGCACCTGAGCCTAGGTCATTGGGGCTTATGCCTCCCCCTCCCCGCACACGCTTCCACGGCCTGTTAAAGGTCCAAAGACCTCTCACACTTTTAACCTCACCCCAGTTTCTTTGTTTTGCCCCAAGGATTTAGATCCTGCTCAGGTCTTTGTCCAGGACTGTCATTAGTCCATGTAATGCCATTCTCATTTGATCTTTTTCAACCTGATTCTCTACCCCAATGTCCTGGCCCACCGCACAGGGTCATGTTTAAAGTGGATAGGAGTACCCTCTTGCCTGTCTGTTTTTGCAAAGCATGCAGTGCTGTGTGTGAATTGCCGTGCTTGCTTTACAGAAAGGGCATTGTGTTCCATATACTAGTACAGAGGCAGCCATAGATGCAGATGTCTTTTCCTCCCTGCACGGAGCACCCTGTAAGGACCCCGCATGTGGTTGTGTGCACTTCCAGCTCATTGAGTGATGTCCAGTTTACAGTGATGCTCAATTGCTGCAAATTCCCAGGCAGCTGATACTCTCCTGGCCTCCCCTGTGATACACCCTATGTTGACCCAGATATGAAATTCAGTCTTTTCTCTTTGCCTGTGTATACAAAGCATGGTATGTTGAGTAGTCTTTAAGCACTGGAGAAGCTAAAGGTCATTAAGCAAAGGAAACGTACATGAATGATAGAATCCCCATGCTTGTAACCTCCTCCGTCACCATGACCACCACCATCTGCTTCACCATCAACGCCACCATTATTATTTTTTTTTGACAGGCAGAGTGGACAGAAAGACAGAGAGAAAGGTCTTCCTTTGCCGTTGGTTCACCCTCCAATGGCCGCCACGGCCGGTGCGCCATGCTGATCCGAAGGCAGGAGCCAGGTGCTTCTCCTGGTCTCCCACGGGGTGCAGGGCCCAAGCACTTGGGCCATCCTCCACTGCACTCCCGGGCCACAGCAGAGAGCTGGCCTGGAAGAGGGGCAACCGGGACAGAATCCAGCTCCCTGAATGGGACTAGAACCCAGTGTTCTGGCGCCACAAGGCGGAGGATTAGCCTAGTGAGCCGCAGCGCCGGCCCAACGCCACCATTATTAAAGTCACCAACACCATCATCGGACACCATCACCACCATTATCACTGATACCACCGCCATCTGGACAGCTGCCCCCTCAGTCTCTGCTGCTGTCCATGATGAGGTCCCTGTACCTCTGTCCCTAATACGTGCAGGCTCCACCGCTTTACATTTTCCTAATTGTACCTGTGAGACCCCCGAGCTGCGGTTGCTTGACCTGACTGGTGTATGATTGCACTTTGAATTAGTAGTAGAGCCAAGGTTTGCACACAGACTCCTGACGTCAGGAGCTGCCACTCCTGTGTGACCCTTTGTGCTTGAACGTGTAGGTGACGTGAAGATGGCTCAGGGCCTCGCTGGCAG